AGATGTATGGGGAAAGGAGGTACAGATCTGTCCTTCTCATAACTGTGTAGCAATTTTGACATGTGTAGCCTTTTTCACTGTTACAGCTTTCAGCGTATCCTACTACTCTCTTTCCATCCCTGGAGGGTATAGGACAGTGATGGCGAACCAATGGCATGCGTGCCACAGGCGGCACACAGAACTCTGTGGACATGCGTGCTGTTGCCAGCTGCTCTTCCAGGTTCTGGCATGCACATGCATGCCGGCCAGTGGTCTTCGCACATGCATGAGCGCTGGGAACCCAAAGACCAGTTGGCTGGTGCACATACATGCGCCGGAAACTGAGAGAGCAGATGGCTGGCATGTGCACTGGCCAGCTAGTTTTGGGGTTTTTGGAGCTCTGGCGCATGAATGTATGCACACATATTCCAGTTTGGGAACTTGGAAAAAGTTCGCAATCACTGGTATAGGAGTCTATCCAGCTATATTTTAATCTGCTCTTTTGGCATTAACTAGGGAGATAGAAGTCAAAGAAAGAAGGTGGAATTCTTCAGTCTGGGCATTACACTAGGAATTTGGATACAGGGAATGTTACCATTTTGCCTCTTTGGAAGCAGAACTCATGACATCAATGGGGACTTTCTCCTGTGTATTCAGGATTGCGCAAGTTTCTTGATTGGAAATAAGAAACCAGCTAGCAGGATTGGATATTCATTTGTCCACATAGGGTTGTGTTTCAGTGGCCTCAGATGCCTGGGAGTTGGTTATGGGACCCAGGGTGATGAAAAGGACCCCTCCGCGCATGTTGAAGGTCATTCTTTTAACTGTGCTGAGCACAGAACCACTCCTCTCTCACCTGACTCAGTGGGTGCAGGGCTGATGGCGCTTAGCATTTCTCTCTCCTTCTCATAGTCGCTGCGGCAAAGCAGCTGCCCTTCCTTCAGCACAAACTCATCTCCGCGCTGCAACCGCCGCTCACACTCACAGCAGGAGAAGCAGTGGACGTGGTAGACGTTCTCCAGCACCCGCATGATGAATTCAGAAGGAGCCACAGCTTTGAGGCAGCCACTGCATTTGGTCTGGAACAGCCTGACCGAAAGGAGGGGGGGGGCGGAGAGAATTGGGACAAAGCAATTAAGATGATAAGGCACGAAGCCGATGAAGTGACCTACAAGTTGCTACAGTACATCGCGTTCCCCTCTGCAGACTTTTAGATTTCTAGTTTGCATGCTTATTATACTGTACTGATACATCAGCTGCATTAAAGTTAAAGCTCATCTCTCCCCCCCAATTTACACACGCTTTCCCATCTGATTGCCACTGGGCCCTACTACACAAACATACCACCTATGGCGCCTTAGGAAACACATGGCCTCCCACTGGATGGCAAAATATTGAAATATTATGTCACAACCACAGCGCAATTGCATGTTCTGCTTGAATGTGGGACTGAGAGGGGATTCTCTCTTGTCCACCACAATTCAGTTCAATTCGTTCTACCGTTGAGCTCAGGAAGTTCATTCTACTACTCAGCTATATTAATTCGGCAAAACTTCTACAACCTCAATTAGTTTAAAACACCCAGATTGTACTGTAACATAAAGAGCACAAGGATCATTGTTAGTAAATATGTTAAATATTGAGGCAGCTTATGCCTAAGAAAGGAGATGTAATATCTCAGCCTGAAGTCAACTTAGAAGTGAGAACAATTTTAAGAAACCATCCCTCAATGTACTATAATTCCTTCGGTTTTAAAAATTGAACACATGTCCAGCTAGGTGGCAGCATCTAGTCTACTATAGCGATTACCTCTTACCCTCTCATCCTGAAAGGTTCCTGGAACATTTTCTTGCAATCACTTGTAGTTGAGGTTTACTGTAAAATTATTTTAAATTTGTTCCCTTCTTTTGCAGCCAGAAAAGAATGCCACCTGGAAAATGTACCTTTGAACTAGAAAAAGCAATAACAGCAACCACAAATGATGCTGAAACTTGCCGTTTGAATAATCAAGGCGTAGTTTTACTAAACTAAAATGGGTTTAAACCATTACGGCCATTAGTTGAAGAAACACTGCATTATTATTCAGTAGCTTTGGATCAGATGGGATGTGGATTTTTTAAAAAAAAGTAAAATCAAAGCAATGTTGAATAGAAAGAAGTATGCCATGCCTCGTTGAAAAAAAATTAAAATAAAACAGAGACAACTCATAATTGATAAAAGGTGCCTTTCCAAAGTATTTTCCCGATTGTGTTTTATTTATTCTTCCTGTAATTTAAATACTTTACTCCCCCCCCCAAATCGGAGAATTCCTGAAGAATCTGCCTGCTTCTCTAACTCCAAACGGGTTTGTAAACCGATTCTGTCCATAACTCCACCTGTCAGTTTGAGAGGCATTCCTTCCCTGACATAAATAACAAACAGCACTGTCCTGGATCCATGACCCTAAAATTTTCTTTTAATGTCTTCGCCTCCTGGCATAGCGAGGCATTTGAATAGAGAAATCAATAACTCCAGCCAAGACGTTTGCAGCAGATGGTTCTGATGAAGTAATTTGGGAGCTAAACAAACGCGAGTGGGGCGGCTCAGCGAGCTGACAGCTTCTCTTTAGCCACTTGACAAGAGAAAGTAATAAAATGAGGATTAATTAGCCTGTTGTTTAAACACACAGGATCCTCCCAGCCAGCGGGGAAACTCATAAACCGGGATTGAGAACAAGACGTGGGTTAATCCTCCTAGCAAACTCTTGCTGAGCGCGGAATGGGGAGGATTTACCAGGGCGGGCTCATCCCTGCCTAATGCTCTCCGCTTGGATTTACACTCCTGCTTGAATAGGCNGCATGCTGCTGGGCCTGTCACAACAATTCAAACCATGGAAACTGGCAAGTGTTTTAATGGTCTGTTATTTTCCTTTTGTGAGATGCCACGAGTGCCTTTGCTGAACAACAGCTACAAATGCTTTCAATATTAGTGGAAGTAAAAAAAAAAAATCTTTACAACAGAAAGTAAAATGTCATCCCTTAGTGATTCCTCCCCAGATGAAATTGCTGTTAAACAAATAGACTGTATGGTTGGTACCTGCAACCATAAATTCTCATTTTGTACTTGGTTAAACCAGCTCCTCCCCCCACAACTCTCGTCAACAGTCATGTTTGTTTTGGAATGTGTGCTGTTGAAGAATGTCTAGGTTTAGGAAATGAGTTAGCTCAAAGTTAGGGTAAGCAGAAGTTTGTCGCCCCTTGTTTAGCCGGAGATAAAGTGTCATTCAAATGCAAAACTCAGCAATGATCACTCACCTTGGCTCTTTGGTTCTGGAACCAGACCTGCACTACACGGACAGTCAAACCAGTTTCAGCCGCTAATGTCTCCCTCACCTGCCCATCATGGAAAACAGAAAAGGAGTTGTTAAAAAGCTAAATTCATGTCACAATAAAGAAGCCCCCCCGCACAAAGGGTGACTTTGGGTGGGTTGTGCCCTGTGATCCCTCACTTACAGGGTGATGCAGGGCTCAATTCACTCTCCTCCTTTGTTTACCATCTACATGATACCTCTGAATGAGGTCATCCATTGTTTTAGGGTCATGACAGCCAATTATATGTTTCAACCTTGCACTGACCAAGTGATGCTGTTTAAAGTCCTGAGCCAATGCCTGAAAGCTATGCAGACTTGGATGGAGAAGTACAGGCTTGGGCTCAGTCCCAACAAGACTAAGTTGCTTCGTTTGACCCCTCTGGCTCCAGGGATTCCCCCATCTTCAGTCTTTAATGGGGTCATGAGTCACCATGCGAGACTGGTGCATACCCTAACACCTGTCTCAAACTGCTGGTGACAGCTGTAGCCAAGAGGTCCTTTAAATAGGTTCCCCTTGTGTGCCAGTTGCACCCATTCCCAGATTGGGATGGTCTTCAGAAGCCACTCATATAAACACATTACAGCAATCCAATTCAGAGGTGACAAATTATAAGGTTCTTTCATTGAGATGCCTTGGAAGACCAACAAGATCTTATAGTTGACTCCGAAGGCAGCTGTATGGATGTGCACATGTTCTTGCTGCTTTTTAAGCACCCCTGGTTGCCAATTGGCATCTGAGTACAATTCAAGGTGCGTGATTATCACTTCTAAAGCCCTGCATGGCATACAGTCTGGTTACTTGAAGAACCATCTGCTTCTCTATGTTTTAACTATCCAGCCAGATCAGCAAGAGTTGGTGTACTCCATGTCTTGTTGATTAAGCTGTGTCATCTTATAGGGTTTAGGAAGTGGCCTTCTTGGTGAGGGCTCCTATCCTTTGAAATGATATCACCAGAGAGTCATACTGCTTCTTTTCCATTTCTTTTTGCAAATTGCTTGGGACTTGGTTGTTGCCCCAGGCCTTTTCCTAGAATGGGGGTCAAACCCCTTTTTGTGACCATTAGCTGCTTGACTTTGGAGGATTTGGGATTCCTAGTCATCCATAAATTTTGATCTCTTGTAATTCTTTTATCTGTCAGCTGCCCAATCAGGTGGCCTCAACATTGAAAGATAAGTAACATAAATAAGATCAGAGATCTACCAAATATATGGGCACGGCAGGGTTCCTTCCAAGGGAAGCAAGACCCAGAACTTAGGTGATATTTAAGACAGGAGCAGGAGCAAGGGTTGTTGGTTTTTTTTGCACCCAGCAGCTAAAATACTAGCATCTGAATGTGATAAAGGAGACATTCGACTATCCCATAACATTACTAGAGATGGAGGAAGTAAAACTCATCATTCCTTTTCGGCAGTTGGTCATTGCCTTAAGAAAAATAGATGCCTAAGGTAAGTGGAGGAAAGGAAAACAGAAGGTAGTGCCTGATTGGGGTATGCAGGGGAGTTATAGGAAGATGGATGAAGTGGTAGATTGCTTGCATTCTAGTAAAACAAGTAAAGGGTAAAGGTTGAACTGGCCACTCTCTTAAAATAGGCAAGGAACGGAAAGAATTTAGGAAGGGAGCAATAAGTCGACAAGATGTTTTAAAAGAAGTGGGAAAGAAATTGAAAGAAGACAGCCAGTATATAGCAACAGCAGTAGCACTTAGATTTATATACTGCTTTACAGTTCTTTACCNAAAACAATAAACAACAAACAAACAACAAAAACAAACAATGTTAGTTTGCAAGTAGTCAGAGGTGGCAGATAAATGCTACTGGCTATTGTATGTTGGCCCAGGGGAATTCTTAGAGGTCATAATATGTACAGTTTCAGAGTACAAAAGTTGATTCAGAGCATGAATCTGATTTAAGAACATGCCAACGAATGTAACATCCATGTCCACACATAACTCTAAATCATCCTTTCCTCTTTGCAATTGCAATTCTGCAGAACTGTAGCCAGTAAAAATTACCAGAACTTTATAAAAGAGTTTGGAGGACAATGTTGAGAATTATGTAGATATATCTTTCAGCTCTGAAAGGTGGGCAGCTATATAAATGATGTAGAAAAGAAACACCAACATGTGAGCATTCCTTTGTAGTGAACTTTGGATGCAACAGCGATGACAAATTTTGTTCAAAAATAAAATTGTCCAGACAATAATCTCAAAGTTTTAGTGGCAGAGAAGTTCTTTGAAGTTAGTACCAACTTCCAGGCTCAATGTCAGTGATTTATTTCTGTGTCTAAGCTAATCTCTTGTTTTTCCATCCATACCTCCTGGGCATCTGCCAACTGCCTTCTCCATCAAGTTTGCTAGCAAAGATGAAAACATTAAACTGGTGGGTGGAACACGTGGCCCTTCAGATGTGGATGAACCAGAAATAACAGTAGCGTCGGCCAATATGAAAAGAACGCTGGGAAATGTAGTTCAGCAACATTTGGAGTATCATGGATACACCCATTTTTCAACAGAACATAACTGAATGATGGGAAAAATATAAGCCCTTAGAGATACTATTGATGAAATTCCACTTTGTCATGATTCAGATAAAGTAATCCCGACTCCCAATAGCTCAGAAACTCTTACAGGACAGACACAAAACAAAAACAATTCACTATCGCTTATCTTTCAACCAAAACACAAGCCAGAACCACACAATTTTCTCTTTTCTCCTCAGCAATAACCAGTCATTTAAATAC